TGACATGGAAGACAGCAGTGGCTAACATCCACTATGGTGGGGCTAAAGGCGGGATATGCTGTGATCCCGGCGAGCTTAGCATCTATGAGCTTGAACGTCTGACACGAGTTTTCACTCATAAGATTCATGACCTCATTGGTATCCTCACAGATGTTCCAGCACCTGATATGGGCACAGGGCCACAGGTAAGAGTGTTTTCTTAAAGTCACTTGGGAAGATGATGAATAGAACAAGTGGATTCTTGGGCTTTTGAAGTGAATTTGTAGCTGAACTTGGAAACTTGATTTCTCATTACAGGCTATGGCATGATACTAGATGAGTACTCAAAATTCCATGGATACTCACCAGCAGTAGTGACCGGAAAACCTATAGTAAGTACATATGGAGGATCAAAGTTTGCCATTGTAATTGTGCCGGTTTAGTATTTTCCTCTTCCTAAGAATCAAGAACCCTAACTTTTAGCGTTTAAACCTTACAATTAGGATCTTTGGAGGATCACTGGGCAGAGATGCAGCTACTACAAAGGGTGTGCTCTTTGCAACAGAGGCCCTGCTTAATGAGCTTGGGAAAACCATCTCTGGACAAAGATTTGTCATTCAGGTCAATCCTGTAACCTACTAAAAGATAAAATCAAACTTTAAACCCATTTGAGCTGCATTTCTGAAAGTTGCGCATGTTATTACATTAGGGTTTTGGAAATGTTGGTTCATGGGCTGCAAAACTCATCCATGAAAGTGGTGGGAAGATTGTTGCTGTGAGTGATATCACAGGAGCAATAAAGAACAACAAAGGGATAGATATCCCAAGCCTACTCAATCATGCCAAAGAACACAAGGGTGTCAAAGGATTCCATGGTGCTGAGGACTGTGACATCCTCATTCCAGCAGCCCTTGGTGGTGTTATCAACAGGTTCTTCAATTTTCAGAACATAATCTTTCTTTTTACTGATTCAAGAGTCAAGTTATAAAATGTATTTCATTGATCTAAATGAAGGGAAAATGCAAATGATATCAAAGCCAAATTCATCGTTGAAGCTGCTAACCATCCAACTGATCCAGAGGCAGATGAGGTTACTTCTTCCTTGAAGTTTGCAGGAAAATAGAGAATCCAAGGAAAATCCTATCTTATTTCTTCTTTTTCTTGCAGATCTTGACAAAGAACGGTGTGGTTATACTTCCAGACATACATGCAAACTCAGGAGGAGTTACTGTCAGTTACTTTGAGTGGGTTCAGGTATAATCCCCTGCTTATGGAACTGAAAACTAGGGTTCTCGACCTAATTTTTGAGACCATTCAAAGCAATTTTCTTAGAAAAGTTACCATCAAGAAAAAGTATATTCAATCTTGTTTTCTGGATTGTTTTTTCTATTGCAGAACATTCAAGGATTCATGTGGGATGAGGAGAAGGTGAACAAAGAGCTAAAGACATACATGACCAAGGGATTCAAGGATGTGAAGGAAATGTGCAAAACCCACAACTGTGATCTCCGAATGGGAGCTTTCACTCCCGGAGTTAACCGTGTCGCCAGGGCAACAGTACTAAGGGGCTGGGAAGCCTGAGGAAATAAAGATATCATGTTCTGAATAAAAGATAGAGGCTTGAGTATGGCCCCGATTCTTGTATGCTACTTTGATTGAACCTCATCTATGTGAGGAACTTCAAAGAAGTTTTGTTGTTTTTAGTTTTACTTGGCTTAATGGGCAACTGTATGAGGTTTTCTCCTTCTGAGATCGCTGATTCTTCAGAAAGCTGAAAGGTTTACACTCTACGGTTTCTACACATACATAATGTTTATCTTAGCCTATAAGCTTGTCAAACCTGCTTATAAGCACATGTTGCTCGTTTGGAGAAGGATTCCAAACTTAGCTTAAACTGAGCTTGTTTCCGAGATGAGTTTGCCAAACTCGAGCTCGAACTCAATTGTGTTTATTCTCAAATCTCTTATTTATGGGAAAATAAATTAAAATATATTACTCAAGCTCAAGCTTAAACAGGCTCATTACCATAAACAAACCAGCTTGTATAATTTTGGGCTGAATAAACAAAACTAGATTTCACAGAAAGGGTTAGCTAAGGGAAGGGCTATCCTTGTAAAAAAAAAAGACTGTTTATAAGCACATTTTCTAAACTATGATTAACATCCTCTGCATCTGATGTATAGACCAAGCACTGTTCCAATGGATCATCTTTTTGAATAGACAGCCATCAAATGTACATTTAAACTCAAGGAAAACACGAACATGTAATTCTTTCTAAAAATAGCTATCAAAGCCACAAATTAAACTCAAGAAAAACATGAATAGGCAACAAAAAGTGAATCCATTGGCAGACAAAATCAAATTAAGTTCAGCAATCAGATTTTCATGGTTATATGCCCATAAGTTAAAACACAGAATATGGGCAATTGTAATGTTACAAAATGTTGTTCTAAGCTCTCCCTCTTCCTCTGAAGCCACCACCACGGCTCCCGCCTCTAGCTCCAGCTCTGCCACCTCTTGGAGCACCTCTTCCACGAAAAGCTCCACCTCCATGGCCACTACCTCTTCCACCACCTCTACCTCCCCCACGGCCACCTCTTGCAGCAGGTTGTGACTGGCCCCTGGAAACAACAGAACAGGGCGCCATTTTAAGATTTATTTGAATGAGAGGTAATACAAAATACATAACAGAAATAATCTATTAAGGCAAGTATATGATTTTTGAAGGGATATAATTTATCAGAAAGCAATTGAAGTCCAATAAGAAGAGGGCATGACACAAGGCAGTTCAGCAAATTAATTTGCAAATAGCCAAGGAAGATACACATTAAAGCCTACTATTGTAGACCATGTTGCCCAAGTCCCTAGATCTGCAACACATCCATCCAATTAAACTACATGCAAGTCCATTAACCAGTCTCAACGCATCCCCACTTTCATTGTTGAAGTGATCCTTAAACAGAGTGCTTATTCATGTCATCAACCTCAATCAGTCTTCGTCCTCCAACTAATACCTACTTTGATATAAATGGACAAACCATCCACATTTGCTAAAAACCAGGACCAGAGGAACACA